ATGACCCACGTATCTCACGTGCCCATCGTGTCCACTATGCTCAACGTATCTCCTATGACCCACGTGTCTCCCATGCCCTACGTGTCGCCTATGCCCCCGTTGCCTCACGTGTCCCTCATGACCCGCGTGTACCCCATGTCCCACGTGTTCCCCATGACCCACATGTCTCAGACAGGGGACACACGCACACCGACATGGCCAACTTTAGTGTGCATTACGATTTCGTCACCAAAAAGATTTACAGAAGTGTTCGCGTACATGATGCGCAATCCATTCTAAAGTCGCGTAAAAAGAAAAAAATTAAATACGTTTAATGCCAAAACTGAACGACAAATAATGCATGATGATAATAGATAGGATTAACTGTCATGAACTAAACTATGAAACTTTGGGAATTTGGAAAATATGTCAAATGAACTTGTATAAAAAAATATTGAATAGGGCTGTTGCTGGGTAAAAATTTATGTTTAAAGTTTTGGTGGAGAAACGAAGAAAGTTAAAATTTTACATCGCGATTGCTTGACAATAATCCTCCACTGGACGTTGATACTTTTCTTTTTGTAATAGTTGTTGACTAGCGACATCTAGTGGTATAGTCTAAACTTATTGTTAGTATAAGATAACTAGTAGATTTTTCTATCGAATTTTAAAATATGCATGTGTTAGGAAGAGATAAATTAGACATTTTGCTATCTTTGCGATGTAAAAACTTCTTTTATGAATTCATTAATGTGGTATTTGTTCAGTGGAATGAAATTAATTTTTTATTGACGATAATAAATAAAGAAGTCAGTTGCGGACATATTGTCTCTGCAGTCACTAAATATCTTGCCTTTTTTTCTATAAAATTTTAAATACTTTTTTCATATTTTAATAAGATAGATAAATTTTTACCCTTACAGAAAATAAATACATTTGAACACTGATTTAATGAAATAAAAAAAAAGCGATTTGGTACTTTATGTGGTCAAGAATAAATTGTTTGTATGTGTATGAAAGGTACACAGTAATAAAGTTGAATAATTTCAACCATTCAGTTTTATCACACACAACTATGAATTGTATGTATAATTTTATTATTATTCTTTGTAATTGATAGACTTTAGAGTAGCGCAAAGTAAATGTTTGGTTTTATTTGTGTATGTAAGTATAAAAGGTTTTAAATGAATTGTTTTAGTATCTCTCTATCTCGTTTATTATTATTGAGTGTGAATAGTAGGATGTGTTGAGAAATCTTTGGATTGTGATATGTAAAGTGACAGAGTGGATATCTATCAAATCATATTGAATTACAATGCGTACGCAATAATTTGTGTGTTATGTTCTTTTTAAAGATAAACGGCATATTAAAATATTTGTTAATGGATTACGTAATAATTTATGTACAAATTAAATATATGCGATGGTTTTGTTATATTTATGTTATTGCACCCAATTTTCACTGACTATTTTACTAGATATTCCACTCTGATTCTAGTTACTTATAAGTTTATTCCAATTGGGAATATCATCACAACGCAATCTCTGCACGAGAGAATACATGAATTATTTAAATAAGAGAGACAGTTTGTGCTAATTTTTGTTATAATAAAAATATATTAGGATAAATAAGTGTTTTATTTTAACCCGATTTTTAGGTACAAAATTTGAAAAAAACAAATAATGTCATCATAATAGAAAATTTATTACTCGTGTCGTGCATTTCATGCTACTACAAAAGTACATACAGTAACATTTTATAGGTAACAAACACAATTTGTGAATACTAAAAAACAAGCACCAATACAATTTCTATTACAAAGAGAAATTATCTATTATTTTCTTGCATTTTTTTGTTCCTTTCATAATTAATACTAAATTATCTAGTTTTTTTTACAATTAAATTTTTACTAGGAGTATAAAATGTTTCCTAAACCATGAAATAGTGAGACCTGAATAAAAACAATATTGTTTCTGTTTAATTCAAAGAGGGCAATGTGACAAATGTTCTCATGCAAATGTTTCCCACAATAATGAATTACCATATAACAATTCTTATGTAATAAATCAAAACAACTGAAGTCTAAATACTTTGATACGTATTCCGTCATTACATGTACCTAATTACTTTTACTATAGTATCAAAAGAACCTATTTGCAGTAAAAAAATTAAAAGAAGTTACATAAATCATGATTTCCATAGAAAACTTATCGTAAAATAATGATATAGTGGATTTTTAATATCCTTAAAATACTGGCTCATTTTCTACTAAATTTGCAACCCAAATAAATACTTTTTTCGGATGTAAACGAAACTATTGCCAGGATGTTTGAATGAAAAATATGAAAAATAAAAGATAAAAAATGAATTCAGAATGCCAATTTTGTATTTCATTCCGTTTATCAAATATAAATTTTACAAAAGCACATTTCTAAGACATTGGAAATAATTAGGAACAGACAAATGACTAAAATAGGAAATTGTTTTCTAATTGTGATCTAGGATCTCTAGGTCTAGATTTGTTATAGAAACAATATTCTGTTTATAATAAACTATGTATGAATTTCATACTTAACCTAAAATGTTTAATTCATTCAGTTAATAAGTCTGTTTGAGATCAAAGTTTAAAATTGTTAATGAACCATTTGAAAACTAGTCGCAGTAGTTTTGGACAGGATATGAAAAATATAAACTGAAAAAATGAACTAAAAAGAAACAAACATTAAGTCAATCGATTCAATAAAATATCTTTACCTTTTGTTAAGCACAATATACTAGTCTTTAGTATTATTATTAGATGGCTGCCTATTTTTAATTTAAAAACAGGGGAGGGGGAACACAGGGTACACACATAAAGAAGATATTTCTCCTTCCTCCGTCAAATTAACTTCCCTTAAAATGGTGGGAAAGTAAAGTGAACTAAAATTAGATATTTATGGTTCGTCTACACGAAACCTAATAATTATTTGTAAACTAGTCGTCTCTATGACAAAAATGGCAAATATTTTCACCTAACCTAATGAGTACAGCTATTGTCTTTTGTGACATAAACAATGAGATTTTTTTTTAAATTATTATACAAATATTTAAACACATAGGCATTTCAGGAAACTGGAATAATGAATATAAAATAAATAACTCTCCAATTGGACTATCAATTCCTTTATAATCTTCAGTCCTAGATTTTTTATAAATCCGCCTGATTAATTCTATGTATTTAAATATTTTCATATGTATGTATTATTTGATTTTAATTTTATGCAGTTTGAGTTTGAAGCCGAACATCTCTGACAGCACGCCGGACAGCGCGGACAGTATCACCACCTTGATGATGGTGTAGAGGTAGTGGTTGGCGCAGATACCTGAGATCTTGAATGGGGCGTCTAATTCCTAAAAAAATTTTCATTTCTTACTTTGTGTTACCGAAATACTTGTATAAAATT